GAGGAAAGAGGATTGCTTGAGTCTAAGAGTTTGAAGTTACCATGAGCTATGATGAGGCCATAACATTCTACCCAAGGTGACAGAGTCAGATTCTGCAAAATAAATAAATATTTGTGGTCTTTATGCATGTTAAAATGCTAACACACATTGATATTGCAGTATCAAGCAAGCAAATCATCGTATCTTTAGCAGAAACTCGATAATATTGCAATTCTCAATCCTCATTTAAAAATGTTTTCTTCCTTTAGCTTTCTGTTAGTCTTTCTTTCCTTCAACATTCTCTTGAGCTAGTAAAGCAGACAGAACCAAAAAATACTGTCAAGCTGTGCAATTATCCACAAATTCCACTTCAAATAGAAACAGTGCACCATTGTCAAAAGCTAATAACAACCTGGTATTCTTGACTCCCAAATACTCTCACCAAACAGCCTTGTGTGGTAACAGTACCGGTCAGGCTGGGGAAGTTAAAACTAATCACCAGAGCAGCAATCATCACTTTAGCCCTTCTGGCTTACTAGTGTTCTACTTGTGCTGGCCAATCTGGGAGAATTATCTTGTTGCAATTTATTTTATTCTTTGGTGTTTCAAATACATTCATTTTAAAAACAAAATAAAAATATAAACAACTAACAAAATTATTATTATGTATTATTTTATTAATACAAATAAAAGGATTTGTTCTGTAAAATTTGGATTTAGTCAAAATGCTGCACTGAAGGACCCAGAAGGCCACAGGTTCCCCACCCCTATTCCAAGCAATGAGGAAGGGACTAATGATTTCAAATTTGGGAAATGTTTATCTAATGGTCTATTGGCCTAATGAATTTCTTAACCTTTAGTATTCATGATCTGTCTCCATGCTCATTCCTCCCCAAGTTTGCATAGAACACAAATATAGGAGATGTAGATGACACTTGATTAGACACAAAATTTGAAAGAAAAAAATATTGAACTGCGTAGTTGACTGATATCCAGAAGCAGGGAAAGGCCTGCAGCCAAATTCCTCCAGCTTTTTCTTTTATCACACACTGTTGCTTGGATATCAGCTTGTCAACAAACTGAATTTCTACCACCAGCACTTGAATGAGGAGCCCCATAAGAAAACTACACTGGATACGAAAGCTAGCTTTTTAATAGGAGGGAAGTGCAATACAGGGTAAGTTCCTTATAAGCAAATCTGTCTTTTTCTTTCTAAAAAGAAAATCTTTTGTAGATTTTTTTCTTCCTGCATTCCCCAAGTAATTTAATCAAATATTATCAAATATAGACCACTTGAATGGGTAAGATGGATAGCAATAGCCTAAGAAAAGCACACATGAATTGTTGCCACAAGAAAGAACATCAGTCATCTCACTCTCTTTGGGGAGAGAGGAAATCTATCTGGCTTTGAAGAATATTTATTCTCTGCTCTACAGATCTGGAAAATGGGAGGAGAGATACTGAGATGATTTGAGTATGGGACTGAGTGTGGGCTTCAATTACAGAGAATATTAAAGGAGTATATCTTGGCAAATATGGTTTCTGGAGTGTTAAATAACAGTAGGAAAACAGCATTAAATAAAATATTTATAGTTTAATTTATAAGTTTAGTGGAAACAGTACACACAGAGATGTTGACCGATGTTTTCCTAATAAAATTTTCCTCTGGAAGATCTGAGCCATAGATGTGTGAACTCAGAGCAAGTCAGAGTTTTCACACATATTAAAATACTGCCTAAGCAGGTGTATGTGTGTGTGTGTGATCTCAGTGGATCAAGCAACCCAAAGAGGCGGGCATTATAACCTCCCTTGTAAAGATGAGGGAAGAAACTCAAATCTGTCCAGTTCTAAGGGCCATACAGCCTCTGTTATGGTTTCTTTTCTTCAGTTAGCATGTGAAGGTATAGGTAGTAATCTGATATGTTTAGAGGATCTGTTACTATGTTTGATTTGCTGTATTCTTTCTTCCTTTCATTCTGTGGTTCACATAGCTACCAAGGGCAAAGAAGAAAGCCCAGGAGAAAATATACCGGTTTCTTCTCTGTGCCTTAGCAACCTATTCCAATACATCTACTCTTCCTGGATTGTTAAATTCTTACTGTTATACACACTTCAGGCTCTAAATCCTAAATCATGAGGAAGGGAGACTTAATCATAGCAAGTGCGATTCCATCATTTTGTATCTTTGTCAGGCGAGTGGAAACACGACAATTTTAATCGTTCATTTTATGGTACAATGGTATAAAATTGCAGAGCTAAATGTGCAGGAAATGGAGGATGATGTAAAGGTGTACTACATTTCTACTAAAAATAATATTTTTAAGTATATTTCATCATTTGGAAAAGTACAAAACACACCTTTATATCATGATCTCCCTGTTCTAAAATCACACATAATGTACATGGAAAATAAATAAATAAAAAGAAATGAAACGCCAAAAGCAGTTATTTATAGATAGATGCAGACTGAATATCCCTTATCTAAAATGGTTGGAACCATCAGTGTTTCAAACTTTGGATACTTAAAAACAGTTTGGAATACTTGTATTATCCTTACCACCTGAACACTCCAGGTTGGAAATGCTCCATTACAGATTGCTCCAGTGAGCATTTCCGTTGAGTATGATGTCAGTACTCAAAAAATTTCAGATTTTGAAGCACATTGGATTTTTGGATTTGGGATGATCACCCTGTACAGGTAACCTAATTTTCTTCTTCATTTTTAAATTTTTGAAATTTCCCCAAATAATAGACATTATTTTTTAAATCAGATAATAGTTAAAAATCATCAAGAAACAATCGCCCTAACCGGGTGTGGTGGCTGCCACCTGCAATCCCAGTACTTTGGGAGCCAGAGAAGGGAAGATCATGGAGGCCTGAAGTCCAAGACCAGACTAAACAACATAGAGAGACCCGGAGGCTGCAAAAAATAAGAAAAAATTAGCTGGACATGATAGTGTTCACCTTTAGTTCTAGCTACTGGGAGGCTGACTCAGGAGGATCATTTGAGCTTAGGAGCTGGAGGTTTCAGAACTGATGCACTCCAGCCTGGGCATCAGAGTGAGACTCTGTCTTGGGGAAAAAAAAACAAAAAAGAAATAAGAAAGAACTAACTATTGTAAAAATAGTATGGTTGTACAACCCATCTGTTACAAGCACGGAGTTACTTAGAAAGACGGGGCTCTGAATTATTTTTTAACATAATAAAATAATAATTATTATTAATAAATTTAATAAATAATTTTTAATAATAAATAATAAATATTAATAAATATTATTTTTACAAACAAGGAGTAAGAATGGAAAAAGGTGCAGAATGTGGTGAGGCCCAATTACTTGGAAACATGTGAGGCAATGTTCTTATCCCTCAGAACAAATCAATTTATTTATTTATTTATTTATTAATTATTAAATCATAGCTGTATACATTAATGCAATCATGGGGTACAATGTGCTGGTTTTATATACAGTTTGAAATATTTTCATCAAACTGTTAACATAGCCTTCACCACATTTTCTTAGTTATTGTGTTAAGACATTTATACTCTACATCTTGTAAGTTTCACATGTACCCTTATAAGATGCACCGTAGGTGTGGTCTCACCAATTACACTCCCTCCACCCACCCTCTCCTTTCCCCTCCCCACCTTCTCCCCTTTCCCCTTCTTCTTGGGCTATAATTGGGTTACAGCTTTCATAAGAAAGCTATACGTTGGTTTCATAGTAGGGCTGAGTACATTGGATACTTTTTCTTCCATTCTTGAGATACTTTGCTAAGAAGAATATTTTCCAGCTCCATCCATGTAAACATGAAGGAGGTAAAGTCTCCATCTTTCTTTAAGGCTGCATAATATTCCGTGGTGTACATATACACAATTTATTAATTCATTCATGGGTTGATGGGCACTTGGGCTTCTTCCATGACTTAGCAATTATGAATTGGGCTGCAATAAACATTCTGGTACAAACATCTTTGTTATAATGTGATTTTTGGTCTTCTGGATATATACCTAATAGAGTATTCATTTACTTAATTGCTTACTTATTCATTCAAGTACATACCCAAAAGGGGTTGAGCAAAGTGAAATTTTATGCTATGCTTTGTTGTTCCATGGAGGTATAGGATAAAGAATGGGAAAAGACCACAAAAGCTTCGAAATGTTCCACAAATTCCTTGCATTCGAGTCCCTCCCTCTGCCTCTGCTTCTCCATTGCTGAAGGTACAGTATTTTGTTTACAGACAGAGGGACCTTGTCTGTCTCTCCTTCAAGGCTTGAGGACTTTTTCTGCTATCTCTGTTTATCTAGCTTTAGGCAGAATGACCCCAAATAACCCCATGGTGGCTGTCAAAGTCACTGAGGATGTGAACGAATGAGCACTTAGACAATCTACCTCTACACAGGTCCCATTTCAGGAGCTCTAAGAGACAGTCACCGCTTCATGACTGACCCCCTACCAGTGAGGAGAAACTCACTAATGGACCTCACAGTGGTGCCTCCCTGTGCCCTCTCTTTTCCATCAAATTCAGTTAGTCATTCTCATAAATACTCTTCGTAAAAATTTCATTTCTCTTCCAACCCCTCATGGAAGCCTAAACAAGGTAAGAATACTAGTAACGTTACCTATAACTTCTCATTTAGAAAGTTTAGAGTTTTACCAAGGAAAAGAAGTAGGCATTTTTTTCTTTGTAAAATAAAACTAGAACTTTTAAGATTGTATTTTTTATAAAGGAAATTCCTATTGAACTTTGGAGCTTTGCTCCTGAAATTACTTGCAATTTTTATATTGTCTTGCTCTCAATCATTTGAAAAAGCTTCATTAGTTATTCAGGAGTGGAATCCATTGTCTCCTTCAAGTATATTATTCTCAAAAATTTCTCATTCAGAAACGAAAGCTGGAATGGTATCTCAAATTGTGAAGTATTTGGCTTTGCTATTTTCACTGCACATGTATATTTGATATCAAGTTATTATCTAAATGGAGTTTTTATTACCTGGCTATCAATTAGTTTTGAAAATTCTTGTCATTGTTTTGAATTTTTTGGCCTTGCGTGAATCTATTCTGTCTTGATTATTTTAGAATATTGATGTCACTATTTCAGTTTCCCTATCTGTAAAATGAACACAATAAATTGCCTATCTCATAGGATTGCTGTAACTGAAGACACATGCATGTCAAATGCTTAGCACCACACAAAATAAGCACTCAAGATATATTAGGTTTACAGAAGTAATTGAAGTTCGAGCCCTTCTTGTTTTTCCCTAACTCTGTGAAAGCAACCTTCTACATGGTGACCCTACCGATGGTCTCTTTCCTCAAGCTGCTTCTCTACAGCAGGGCCAAAATGATTTTTTAAAATGTAAACCTGGTCCATTTAGAGTATGGCGCTTTGAGTTGGATAACTTGTCCCAAGGGAGTGGAAAGCTGTCCAGTGCATTTCTTAGGCCTCTGCTTACTAATGTCAAAGACATCTCTTCCCCTTCCCACTAATTGGGGTGACCAAAAATTTTGCAGACACTGCCCAATATCCCCTGGGGGTCAAAATCATCCCTGTGGAGAATTATTATGTTAAAAAAAGACCTTTGATGGCTCCTCACATAAAAGTTAATTCTTACATTCCTAGCATAAAAGGCTTTTATCACCTTCCTCTACCTCTGGCCTTTTTGAAATCAAAAATTAGTTCCTTGAACTAAAAAAATGGTTTAGTTCCCAAACATATTCAGGTATTTCATGCCCATGAGAGAGTTTGTACCAGTTTCTCCGTCTGTTTGTAACTAGCCTTTCTTTTTCTTCTTGAGCACAATGGTTCTCAAATTGTAATGTGCAAATATCAAAAGCTCCTGCCAGGCTTGTTACCGCAGAGTTCTGGCCCCACCCCATAGAGTTTCTGATTTTGTAGTTCTGAGTGGAGCTTGAGAACTTGCATGTCTGATAGGTTTTCAGGGGTGGCTCGTGCTCTTTTGAGACCCAGTATTCTATTCCGTTCAGGGAATGCTTCATGCTTAAGATTCAGATGCCATGTCCATCTCATTTTGAAAGCCTTCCTTGACTGCTATGAATAGAATTTGTTTACCTTCTCTGTTTTCATAGCACCCTTTTATTAATAATACAATGAGCTCTTATCAATTTACCTGCCTGTTCATCAATCTATCTCTCCTGTGCAGAAAAACAATCAGGGAAAAGTTCTCTTCTGCCCACCTAAAGACCTGGTATACCTTAGCCCTGTGAAGAGTATCACCACCTACTTTGTTCAATAAGTATCAATAAAGTTACAGGATCTCAGAAATCCATAGATCTTCATAAGTCCAATACCATGACCTACTTATACATTTTCATCATCATACAGGCCAATGGAAGATGGTTTAGACCAATTAAGGAAGAAACCATCCGATTGTTTTCCAATTACTGTGCATTGAAAATGTGTATGTGTAAGAGAAGCATCTTAATTCCAGGAAAGTTAGCTCAGAATACATCACACTTTTGAATCCCGTAGAACTCCGCAGACTCATAGAAATCATTGCTCTGCTCTGACAGGATCTAACCCAAGGGCAACAGCGCTACTTTTACAGCATCATGAGGATTCACAACCCCAGGCCCCAGTGGGAGGCCCTGCAGACCCGCCATATTCACCGCCTTTGGCACCAGCAGCTGCTCGGTGAGTTTAGCTCCCTGACCTAAACCAGGCACCTAGAGAAGGAGCTTGTGTGCTGAGCTTGAGGTCAAGTTTCCAGATAAATAATTCAAGCACAGTGGTCTCTGCCAGTGTACTGTTTTATCTACATAGTTGGTTAGCCAATTTTAAAAGTAGTTATCCCTAACAGTAGAAAGCAATGTTCTATAGGAAAATTAAGAGAGTTTAAAGAAATTCCTGTATGGATTGTTGTAAAATGTTAACAACTCTCTGAAATTTTCAGGAACTAAATCAAGTAGATCAGTGGCACAGGGCTTAGAAAGCAGGCCTAGGTGCCAACCATATGCTGTTGGTGCAAACAATGGGGGCTTGGCTTACTCAAAGTACTAGTTACATTCATTGAGTACTTCTCAAGTTCCAGACCTCATGTAAGAGCTTTACATATAATATCTCATTTTCTCTCCACGTCACAGCTGGGAAAGATGGAAGCTGAGCAGGTTACATAACTTGCCGAAGATCACATAGGTGGTAAACGTTAGGACTTCAGGTCAGAGAGGTCACCTCCAAAGATCATGAGTTTCCCAGCTCCCCCATCCTCTGCTGTCTCCTTCTATCAAACTTTTCGGGTTTTATGAAGCACAAATGAAGACCTTCACAGATTATAGGCCCTAACTGTTGTCAAGGCCCTTTCCCTGCAGGAAAAACTTCCAGTTGCCTGGCCCCTTGCATTTTAGTCTCCCAACTCTAATACAGTGCATTTTAGAAAAAAAAAAAAAAAATCAGTACTTTATACTGATGTTTCTGTATTTACACAAAAGGAAGACATAATTTTTGCAAATGATATAATAATGTCAACAATAATTGTTTTTTGCCGAGGGTTTTCTATGTGGCAGGCACTATTCTGAGAACTTTGCATGTAACGCCTTGTTTAAAACTCAGATACCTCTGTGTGGTAACTGTCTTGATAACCTATGGTTTATAGTGGAGAAAATTGAAACATGGACAGGGTAAATAACTGGGCTCAGGCCATGCAGCTAGTAAACAGAAGAGCCAGCATTCACTCTGTTTTCTGTGATTGTTGCAAGTGCCAAAGAAACATCATCTAGTAACTTTGGTTCTCAGGCAAAATTGTACAAAAGCCAGTGAATCCAGAAGCAGAGGTATCCAATGTTTAGTACACACAAAAGCTGCCTAGTCCTGTGAAAATGCAGATTTCTGGGCCTAACCCTGAGTTTCTGATTCCAAAGGTCTTTAAGTAAAGTCAGAATCCACTTTAAGTGGTTTTTAAAATTTCAAAATATTCAGGGGTACAGATGTTTTTGTTACATGGAATGCTGAGTTCAGGACTTTGAGTGTGCCTGTTCCCAGGAGAGCGTTCACTGTACTCAGTAGGTGAGTTTTTACCCCTACCACAGTCTGTCTCCCTCCATAGCTTCCCAGGTCCTTTACAGCTCTTGGTACCCATGTGTACCTATCATTTAGTTCTCACATGTTAGTGAGAACATGTGGCGTCTGTTGTTCCATTCCTGAGGCACTTCACTGAGAATAATGGTCTCCAGTTCCATCCGAATTGCTGTCAAAGATATTATTTCATTCCTTTTTATGATTGAGTAGTACTCTGAGGGGTGTATGTATGTGTGTGTATGTGTATATATACATGTATACACAGCTCACATTTTCTTAATTCAGTCATGAATTGATGGGCACTTAGATTAATTCAGTATCTTTGTAACTGTGAATTGTGCTGTGATAAACCATTCGTATGCAGGGGTGTCTTTTTGATAAAATGATTTATTTTCCTTTGAGTAGATACCCTGTGTGAAATTGCTGGATTGCATGATAGGTCTACTTTTAGTTCTGTAAGAAATCTCCATACTGTTTTCCATAGAGATTATACCAGTTTGCAATCCCATCAACAGTGATAAGCGTTCCTTTTTCTCTGCATTCATGCCAGATCTGTTGTTTTTTTAATTTTTAATATAGGCCATTCTGACAGTAAGATGATATTTCATTGGGGTTTTAATTTGCATGTCACTAATGCATGTGGTGTTGGATGCTTTTTCATATATTTATTAGCTATTTGTCTGTCTTCTTTTGAAAAATTTCTGGTCATGTATTTTGCCCACTTTTTCACGTTTTTTTTTTTTTTCTTGCTGATTCTTTAAGATCTTATTTATTTATTTATTTATTTATTTTTATTGTTGGGGATTCATTGAAGGCACCAGGTTACAGGGCAGTGCCTGTAAGATCTTTTTTATTTATTTATTTATTTTTATTGTTGGGGATTCCTTGAAGGTACCAGGTTACAGGGCGGCGCCTATGGCTCAGTGGGTAGGGCGCCGGCCCCATATGCTGAGGGTGGCGGGTTCAAACCCGGCCCTGGCTAAACTGCAACAAAAAACAGCCAGGCATTGTGGCGGGCAAAATATAGTCCCACCTACTCGGGAGGCTGAGGCAAAAGAATTGCCTAAGCCCAGGAGTTGGAGGTTGCTGTGAGCTGTGATGCCATGGGGCTGTACCAAGGGTAATATAGTGAGACTCTGTCTCTTCACAAAACAAACAAAAACAAAACAGGTTACACTGATTGCATTTGTTAGATAAAGTTCCTCTTATAATTGTGTTTTGCCCTCCAAAAGGTGTGTCACACACCAAGTCTTCAAGTTCTTAATAGATTTTGGATTTGGCTCTTTGTCAAATATATAGTTTGCAAATATTTTCTCCCATTTTGTAAATTTCCTGTTTATTCTGTTGATTATCTTGCTCTGCAGAAGTTTTTTAATTTAAACTAAGTGTCATTTATTTATTTTAGTTGTTGCTGTATATGCCTTCAAATTAATCATAAGTTCTTTGTCTAGACCTATGTCTAGAAAAGTTATTTGATATTTTTTTCTAAAATTTTAATGGTTTAATGCCTTGTACTTAAATCTTTAAACCATACTGAATTGATTTTGTATATGGCAAGAGATAAGGGTCCTGTTTCATTCTTCTGCATGTGGCTGGCCAGTTTTCCCAGTGCCATTTGTTGAATGGGGATCCTTTGTTTTTGTCTGATTTGTTGAAGACCAGTTGAAGAAGACAGTATAACTGATAACACAGAAATACAAAATATCATCTGTGAATACTACAAAGACCTCCATATACACAAACTAGATAACCTAGAGGAAACAGATAAATTCCTGAAAACCCACAACCTCCCAAGTCAAGAAGAAATAGAAATCCTGAACAGGTTAACAATAAACAGTGAGACTGAAGCAGTAATAAAAGATATCCCCTCTCCATTAAAAAAAAAAAAAAAAACCCAAGGTCTACCAGCTCTACAAAGAACTGGCACCTTCCCTATAAAAAATTATTTGACAACATTGAGAAAGTGTGACTCCACCCTAAGTCTTTTTATGAAGCCTGATTCACCCTGATACCATAGCTAGGAGAGGACACAACAACAAAAAGAAAACTACAAACCAATATCTCTTATGAACACAGATTTGCAAAAATGCTCAAAATTATAGCAAAGTGTATTCAAAAGCACATCAAAAGATAATTGGCCATGATCATGTAGACTTTATCCTAGGGATGGTTCAACATATATAAATCAATAAATGTGATTTGCTATATAAACAGATATGGTAGACACACAAAAAATTCAATAAAATCCAGCAAATTTTCATGATAAAAATCCTCCACAAACTGGGCATAGAAAGAACATTGCTCAAAATTATAAAAGCTGTGTATGACAAACTCACAATCAACATTGTACTGAATAGGAAAACAGCTGAAAGCAATCTACGTAAGAACTGTAGGAAGACAAGGGTGCCTGTAGTCAGCATATCTATTCAACATATTACTAGGAGTCCTAGCCAGAGCAATCAGGCAAGAGAAAGAAATGAAAGGTATCCAAATTGGTATCTATTCTACCAATCCTTGAGCATAAGAAAGAAGAATTTGAACTATTCTTGATTGGGAACATTATGATCTTATGTCTAGAAAACCCAAGACTCCTAGAATTGATAAGTTCAGCAAAGTCTCAGATTATAAAATCAATACAAATTAGAAACATTTCTAAATACTAATAAAAGTCATGCTGAGACTCAATTTAAGGACTTGATACCATTTACAACAGCTAGAAAGAAGATAAAATGCCCTTTCACCTCTTTTGTTAAGTATATTTCTTTTTATCTTAAAGGAATATACTTAACAAAAGAAGTGAAAGATCTCTACAAGGCAAACTACAAAACATGGTTGAAAAAAATCATAGATGATGCAAACAAATGGAAAAACATCATATGCTCAAGGATTGGTAGAATCAACATTGTTAAAATGTACATACTACCCAAAGTAATTTACACATTCAATGCAATTCCCATCAAAGTACCAACATCTTACTTCACAGATCTAGAAAAACATAATCCTGAATTTAATTTGGAACCAAAAAAGAGCCCAAGTTGCCAAAGCAATCTTAGGCAAAAAGAACACATCTACAAGTATCACATTACCTGACTTCAAGTTATACTACAAGGCTATAGAAACCAAACCAGCATGAAACTGGTATAAAAGTAGAGATACAGACCAATGAAACAAAACAGAGAACTAAGAAATAAAACCATATAATATATAGTTTATGAATAAAACCATATAAAATATGGTTTAACTATGACTAAGTATGCAATTTTTTTTTGTTTTTTGAGACAGAGCCTCAAGCTGTCCCCCTGGGTAGAGTGCTGTGGCATCACAGCTCACAGCAACCTTCAACTCCTGGGCTCAAGCAAGTCTCCTGCCTCAGCCTCCCAAGTAGCTGGGACCACAGGCGCCTGCTACAACGCCTGGCTATTTTTGGTTGCAGCTGTCATTGTTGTTTGGCGGCCCGGGCTGGATTTGAACCCACCACCTTAGGTGTATGTGGCTGGCACCTTAGCCACTTGAGCCACAGGTGCTGAGCCAAAGTATGCTATTTTTTAAAAGCATGTGGCCTCAGCTCGATGATTCTCTCATATGTGGTCTTTGAGATACATAGAGAGATACAGAATATATCTTTCTGATTTGAAGCAAGTTTTGATATCAAAAATAAGTAATTCAAGCAAAGATTCCTCATGCTCAAATAAATCCCTTTGCAAATGATTTGACATGTTAAACAATGACTAAGTATCACAGAATAACAAATGCAAAAGAAGAAAAATACACTCCTGTCCTCAAAGATAGCATAATGTGGGTATTCTAACCATAAGAGTAGGAGATAATATGTACAAATAATTAAATAATTGCAGTTTTGTTTGCTTATTTATTTTGTACAAGTGTTGGCTTTAAAGTTCCTCTCATTTCTTTCTCTTAGGTTATATTACTCAACAGGAAGCCCTGTCTTACTCTGCTGTACTTAGAGATTCAATCAAGAGAGCCTCAACCAAGATAGCTCCTCAAAGAACCATTCCTCGGAAAGCTTCTGCCATAACAAGAAAACGTCCTCCAGCGTTGCCTCTGTCTGCGGTCCTACCAAAGGCCCAAAGTGCAGGGTGCCGAGCCCTCAGGAAGCGAGACTTGGCCACGTTTTCTGGAGCACGCAGCGTCATGTATCCTGGCATCTAGCATCCATGTATCCCTGGCATCTCATGGATGCTTAGTGCATATTTGTTGAATGACAGTGAATAAAAGAAAAATTTCTAATACACATCCCAGACCTAGATGTAATCTCTTTTTCACATAAATTTTGCCAGAGAGAGCCAGTTGAGAGGCATTGGAGCAATGGAGGAGAGAATAAGCAAGCTTTTTCACATACAATCTGTAGAGCAAAATAACGTTTAAGCCTTTCAAAGTAAAAGCTTTCTTTGCATGAAAACCTCCTAGAGAATTCAAAAAATAGTGACAGGGGAACATATGACCATACCATGTAAGCCACCCCATCTGTACATATTGAAAATATAGAAACTAACACAGAATTAACACGGATAACAGGGCTCCAGAGCCATGTCTGTCATCTCAGCAATACTGTTCAGTGCCTTCTTTCCCATCCAGCAGTGACATTCAATTTAGCCCCAAAGCTTCTGGTTCTCACCTGAATCAGTCACTTTTATGTCATCTTGAAACTTGAATTTATCATTCTGCCACAGCTGGATTTATTTTATGCAGCTATAATTGGCCTTGACACGGGTAAGAGAATTCGTGGACACACCTTTCCTTGGCAGCTGAAGACACACTCTTAGCAGAAGATGAAATAGCCCAAAGAATTGATCTTGAGTCTTATTTTTCTGTGGCATTAAGGTTTTAAGAAAAACATACAAAACTATATTAATAAGCAAAAAATAAGATCAAAGATCATCATGTAAACCGTATAGTATCATATAAGTTAGTTTTATCACCAGTGGTTTATCTATGTATGTTAAAAATGAATCACAATGTTTATGTAAAATCAAAATAAAAAAATTCCTCTTCCTCATCATTTTTAGATTTCCCCCATTGAAATCAGCCAATGGTTTTGTCATACCTATGAAAGGAATTGGTTCAGATGAAATATAAAATTAACAAAGGGTTAATTAATCTGAAAGGAAGATGGTACATTAATACCAGAAAAAAAATTCATTATCTTCTCTTTGCAACCACTAACATGTAAGATATAAAAGTTGTCATGAACTCTCAATATGAGTTCAGAGAGTCTACCTGAATTTTCTTTGGGAAGAACAAGAGTTGTGGTTGACAAGAAGTCTTGGGGAAGCTGATCTTGACATCGTTGTAGTCATTCATTTAATCATAAAGAAGCTTCTTGACCTCTGCAAATTTGGACCCTGACTCATACACTCTAAATAGCTTTACAGTTCTAAATAAGGAATTGTTAGGTAGGCTTAAAAGAAGAAAAAAATCAAATGGAACTGAGGCAAGCTATGAGGTAGCCCTTTAAAAGGACAGAGGTACCTTGTAGACCTAATTTAGTCTTTACTTGCCTTCCCCTTGTTTCCATGATTGGCCTTTTATCCCTCTGAACTGCTTGCACAGACTTTTATCTTAGGCTTTTTTTATAGCGTAGATACTTGCTGTGTGAGCCTTAGGTAGGGATGCAGAATATCAAAAAGGTCATGTATAATTCTGAGCTATCTCCTTGCAACAAAAATTTCAAAACACCTCACTTCAGATAGAGGTTTCTTAGAGCTAATTGACAGGTGAAAGTCGCAAGACCATAAGAAAGACAAATAGATCTAAGTCAGTGTAGAAGGTCCTATTATTTTGATCCCTCCCTTGAGCTCTGCACTTGAAGCTTATAAGCAATGTGGTGGAAGAAAGGTGCTCACCTAGGAGGACACTGAGAAAGATGATTAGAGGGGGGAGAGAAGATGACCTGCGATTTTAGGAAAGTCTACTCCTTTGACTTGCTGGAGACTATATTGCTTGCTCTCACAATGTAGTAGATGTCATCAGTCCTGTAGACCTGTGACCATCTCACCTGAAATTGTTAGCACCTAGAACAACGGTAGGCAATCAGTAATACTTGTCGAATAATAATGAAGTTTTCAAAGATTCTACAGATCAGGCTGGCCTCTGATCAGGATATTGTTCAAGGGCCCTACAAAACCACAACTATTAACTAAGTACAGCAATAGTATGTCACAAAGAGGTGAGGGAAAGAGTTCAGGGCAGCTTCAGGCAATAGGGGGTTGCAGCGTCAGTAAAGAATTTTAATAAAGCTGACTAAAGTTGGTCTACTTTTAACTATCATCACCATCATCCAGGAATTCTAAACAATATCAGTGATAAAATACTCATCTCCTTCCAAAAAATTTCTTATCAGACTGATTCTGAACAATTGCTGAGGTTAGTGTTGAATTTTAAATGGAATATAAGTAAGCTTCAAAGTAGCACATTTTTGTTTTTTTCCTTTATAACCATTTTATTCCATATTGAAAGTAGTTCAGAGAATTGTCTGCTAAACAGTTGGCTTCCAACACATACAGTATTAGTTCCCATGTCTCCAGTGTGGTAGTACATACGAGAGCTGTAATAAGGCTGGATACTTTCCAGACAGCCCTCGTATTCTTGCATTTAAATGATAGATTGAAAAGAACAATGATTGTATCATGAATGTAAAGTCAAAAAAACAGAACTTAAATTACTTCAGTTTTTGATTCTATGTGGCCACTTGGAGTTTTCCTTCTTAAACAATTTTATAGAGGTGTAATTTATATGCAATAAATGCGCTCAGTTTAATGAATCTTGACAAATGAATACAGTTGCATAACCACCACCATAATCATGATACAGAATGTTTCCATTAACTCAAAATTTCTTTTGTGTTCTTTTGTAGTTAATTTCCTCCCCCAAACTCTGACCCATGAAAATCACTGATCTACTTTCTATCACTATAGTTTCGCCTTTTCTAGAATTTTGCATAATTAGAATCAGAGTATATAGTCTTACATGTCTGGCTCTTCTCACCTAGCTTGATGCTGCTGAGGTTAATTGTGCTGTAGTATCAGTAGTCTGCTCTGTCATTGCTGGGTAGTAGTTTACACCCCAATTTACTCATGCATTCACTGGTCCACGAGCATTTGGATTGTTTCTGGCTTTGGACTATTATGAATAAAACTGCTATAAACATTTGAATGTAAGCCTTTACATGAACACAACAAGTTTTTATTTCTCTTGGGATGATTCCAAGGAGTGTAGTTACCAGGTCCTAAGGCAGATTTAGCTTTCACTCTTTAAGATACTGCCGTAGTGTTTTACTAAGTGGCTGCCCCATTTTGCATTCCCACTAGCAATGTATAAGAGTCTTAATTGCACCACATTCTTGCAACATCAGTCATTTTAATTTTTTCATTCTAGTGACTGTGGCTGCTAAGTAGGGAAGGACTGGGTGTGTGGAAAATCTGAGAATTGCCACTAGTAGTTATAATCACTTTTTTACTAGGAATTGCGGCAAATTTGAGGGCAGGGCAGGTGATAATCTTGGAGATTTAATAAAAGAAATTTCACAGTTTCTCAGGCAATCCTGATATGATGACTCTTCTGTTTATTTTTAGAAGGGAAAGGGTTATTTTTAGAAGAGAAAGGTATTGGAAGAGGTGAGGAAGGAAGAAAAAAAAGCAACCCCTCCTGTGGAAAGAACCATCCCTAGACACAATTGTGATATGGATTCAGTGCATCCTCGTTAACTTCTTACCTTTCCTTGTTTACATTGTTCTTCAAGTTCAGCAATCAATACTGGCTACCATGACCCAAATCTTCATGCACTGTTAGTTATCAATTGCTGCATAATAAAATGATCCAGAATTTAGTGACTTAAAACAATATTTACTTTCTCATAGTTTCTGAGGTCCAAAATCTATGCACAGCTTAGCTGTAGTTTCTGGCTCAGGGTCCCATGCAAGGCTGCAATCAATGTGTTGACCTAGGCTGTGGTCTTATCTGAGGATTCAACCAGGGAAGGATTCACTTCTAAGCTCACTCATGTAATAGTTGGCAGAATTTATTTCCTTGGGGCCTTGGTACCTTACTGGCTGTTGTGGGGAGGTTACCCTCAGTCCCCTGCCACAAAGACTTCTCAGTAGGGCAGTTCACAAAGAATGACATGTTTCATTAGAGTTAGAAAATGAAAGAAAGAGTGTCAGGTAAAAATTCCAGTCTTTTATAACTAATCTGTCACTTTCACTTTATTCTATTCCAGCCCACATATAACAGTAGGGGATTGTTCAAAGGTGTCAATACTAGAAGGTGGGCCTCACTGGGAGCCATTTCAGAAGCTGAAAACTAAAGTGATTGACATGCCTAGGGTGCAAGATTGAAGGAAACATTCAGTCATTTCTTTTTTTTTTTTTTAAGAGAGTTTTACTATGTCAGCCTTGGTAGAGTGCTATGGTGTCACAGCTCACAGCAATCTCAAAGTCTTAGGCTTAAGCAATTCTCTTGCCTCAGCTTCCCAAGTAACTGGGACTATAGGCGCTCACCAAAATGCCCAGCAGTTGTCATTGTTGTTTAGCAGGTCCAGGCCAGGCTCAAACCCACCAGCCTTGGTGTATGTGGCCAGTGCCCTACTCACTGAGCTATGAGTGCCATGCCATGAAACATTCATTCTTGTGTAACCCTCAGAATGAATCCCTTAAGATTCCTTGTTCACCTTACTTCATCCTGGCCCTGTTGCCTGCTACACTCATTCTGATTTCTGATCGCCAAGTCAGAGCTTTCAGCCAAGACAACAAGCTTAGCCTGTCTTCTCAAGCAGCTGTCCTATGGTGCACACTTTCTTCCCACCATGACTCTCTTGAAACCTAGCTGTTTTTTATTGCAATCCTCCAACATGCTCTTGGAGGAAAATGTTATCGAAAAAGTCTAAAACAATTAATAGTTAATATCTAAGCCTTGTATAACCTATATGTTTAGAGCAATATTTATGAGAATGCAATTTACAGACCAGATTCATTAAGGATTCTTAAAATGCAAATCCTGGGTCCCTTTCTAGACCCAGTGGATCAGAATCCCAGGTGATACTAACTCCAGTTCTGGCTTTAGTTTTCAGCTTCTGAAATGGCTCCCAATGACATCCAACTTCTAGTATTCATACCTTTAAACAATCCCCTAACTTTGTGTATGGGCTGGACCTA